AAGGTAAAATAAAGTGTACAGCTTGGCGGAATTGTAAACAGGTATACCCCTTACAGCCACACCCAGATCGAGATATTTACAGTACCCCAGGAGGGTCCCTTGTATCCCCCACCCAGTCAGTCCTCCCTGCAGAAGTATAACCACTATTCTGATCTTTGTCACCATAGATTAGTTTTCCCTTTTCTGAGTGTCATATACAGACAGGCATTCAGTATGTACTCTTTGTGTCTGGCTTCTTTTGCTCAACTTTATATCTGTGAGATTCATCCAACACAGTTGTAAGTAGACTCTTAGTAAACATATTTGCCTGCTTCTTGTTTTTCACCTTAGCAAGAGAGTATAAACACCCTTTCAAGTTGTCACCTGCAGGTCTCCATGTCATTCCATACTACTATAGATGTTCCACAATTTATTTAGCATGTTCTCTCTTGGTGGACACATAAGTGGTTTCCAATATTTCATAGACTTGAAACTGATGAGTTGAGGGGCTGTGTTTTTAATGTTAATAGATAATACCAAATTACCTTTCCCAGAAGTGGCAGGCATTTAGATTCCCACCAGCATATGACACTGTCTAGTTTACCACATAGTCATCTGAGAGCTCTAAATTTTTATCTCAGTAATTAATTTGTTTTTAAAATAAGTAATACATGCAAATGATGAAAAAAATACAAAAGAGTATATGGTGAAAAGTGTGTCTCCCTTTCACGCCCGTCTCCCGATGGTCCAATTCTTCCCAAAGAGAACCTCTTCTAAGTGTCTGTCCAAAAATGTGTATATGAGCATGTATGTGTATATACTTTTATTTTATATAAATGGCAGTTCTAGACTTTTCTTGTTCCACTTAACAACATATCTTGGAGATTATACCATAGCAATATAATCTAGAGCTGCCTCATTATTTTAACTACTGAATAGTATCATATAGTATGGATACAACACAATTTAATGAGTTCTTTATTGATAGATATCAAGATTATTTTCAGTCTCGTTATTATTATAAGTAATGCCACAGTGAATATCTTATAGGATAAATTCATAAAAATGGAAGTATTAAAAATAATAAATGTGCATTTTTTTAAATAAACATTATTAAAATATAGAGAAAAGTATACAGAAGTACACAGGTCTGTAAATTTTCACCAAGTAAATGCATCCATGTAATTACACCCAGATCAAGAAACACATCTTACCAGCAACCAGAAGCTTCCTCATGCCCTCTTATTTGTTACAAACGCACTTCACGTAAAGGTAACCACTAATTTCCAACACCGTAGATTAATTGTGCCTGGTTTTGAACTGTATAGTATAAGTAGTTTTTATTCTAACAGATGTCTCTTCATAGAAATGGTATCAGTTTACACTTGCACCTACATTATAATTTGAGAATGCACATTTCCTAACACCTTCACCAAACCAACGGGTTATATAATTTTTGATTTTTGCCCGTTATCTAAGTGAAAAGTATTGTCACTTTTATTTTGCATTTTTCTTATACTCAGTAGAGTTCAGCATCTTTTCATGTTTAAGACCATTTATATTTTCACTTCTATGAACACTCCTTGTCCTTTTTCATTTTCTTATTGATTTATAAATGCACTATAATATATGTTAGGGAAATTAATCCTTTGTGATATATGTTGCAAATATTTTTCCTAATTTGTCATTTATCTTTGATATTATTGTTTTTCCTACAGACATTTTTATCAGTCTTTTATTTTTTTTCTCTCTGTTAGGTGTAAAATTGATTTTTTCCCAACTGGTGAGGTTGAGTGTCTTTCTTCATGGTTTTTGATTCTTTGCATTTTCTCTTCTGGATACTGCTTCTTGATATCTTTTGCTTTCTGTTGGATTATCACCTTCTAACTCATACCTAGACGCTCTTTGTATATGAGCAATAGTATCTCTTTGTAATGTATGTTTAAAAAAAGTTCATCCCCTTGTCATTAGTTTTTTTAAATTTTATGGTATCTTTTTTTATTTTTTAACAGCTTTGAGATATAATTCACACACCATACCATTCATCCATTTGAAGTATACAGTTCTGTGGCTTTTAATATATTCAGAGAATTGTGCAGCCATCACCACAATCAATATTAGAATATTTTCATCACCAGAGAAGAAGCCCAGTACTGTTTAGCTGTCACCCTCAATCTTCCCAGCCCTGGGCAACCACTACTTTCTGTACCGTAGATTTACATCTCCTGGACATTTCATATAAGTGGGATCATATAATGGGTAGTCTTTTGTGACTGACTTCTTTGACTTAGAAAAATGTTTTCAAGGTCCATCCATGTTGTAGCATACATCAGTACTTTATTTCATTATATAAATATACCGCATTTTGTTTATCCATTCATCAGTTGATAACATTGGAATGGTTTCTGCCTTTTGGCTATTGAAAAATACTGCTGTGAACATTGATGTACAAGTTTTTGTGTGGACATATATTTTAATTTCTCTTGAGATATACCTAGGAATGAAATTGCTGGGTTAAATGGGAACTCTAATTTTATCCTTTTATGGAATTGCCAGATTGTTTTCCAAAGCAGCTGGACCATTTTACATTCCCACCAGAAATGTGTGAAGGGTCCAGTTTCTTCACATTCTCACCAACATTTGTTATTATTTGACTTTTAGATTATACCCATCTTAATGGGTGTGAAATGGTATCTGGTGGGTTTGTTTTGTTTTTTACCATTATAACCATTTTTTTTTTATTGTGGTAAAAAACATGTAATGTAAAATTTACCATCTTAACCATTTTTAAGTGTACACTTCAGTAGTGGTAAGTATATTCACATTGTTGTTAAACAGATCTCCCGAACTTTTTCATCTTGCAAATCTGAAACTCTGTACCCACTTAACAACAGCTGCCCCTTTTCCCCTCCCCTCAGCCTCTGGTAACCGCTATTCTACTTTCTGTTTCTTTTCTGTTTTATTCTGTGACTACTTTAGATACCTCACATAAGTGGAATCATACAATATTTGTCTTTTTGTGACTGGCTTATTTCACTTAATATAATGTCCTCAGGGTTCATCCAGGTGTAACATATGACAAGATTTCTTTCCTTTTTAAAGCTAAATAATATTCCATTGTATGTATTTACCACATTTTGTTTATCCGTTCATCTGTCATCAGACATTTATTTGGGTTGTTTCCACCTCTTGGATATTGTGAATAGTGTGCATTTCATTGTGGTTTTGGTTTGCATTTCTCTGATTACTGATGATGCTGAACTATCTTCATGAGCTTTGTATATCTCTATATCTTCTTTAGAGAAATACCTATTCAGATCCTTTGCTCATTTTTTTAGTTGGATTGTCTTTTTATTATTAAAGTGTAAGAGTTCTTTATATTATTTGTGTCTTTGCCAAATGTAATTTTTTTTTAATTTTATTTATTTATTTTTCCCCCAAAGCCCCAGGAGATAGTTGTATGTCATAGTTGCACATTCTTCTAGTTGCTGTGTGTGGGACGCAGCCTCAGCATGGCAGGAGAAGCAGTGCGTCTGTGCGCGCCCGGGATCCGAACCCGGGCCGCCTGCATCGGAGCCCGGGCACTCAACCGCTAAGCCACAGGGCCAGCCCGCCAAATGTAATTTTTATGTTATGAGTTAAAGTTTAACTTTATTTTCCTCCAAATAGCCAATTATCCAGTACCATTTATTGAAGAATCCATCTTTTCCCTCCTTTAACAAGTGTTTATTGAGCAAATACGTTGGGTTAGGCCCTGAGAAAATAAGGATAAAATGGTGCAGAGCTTACAGACTAGTTCCAAGACAGACTTGTGAGTAAATAATTACTGTTCAGCAAGATAATAGTTTAAATGAAAGTTGATGAAAGTCATTTGGGGACAAGTAGAAAAGAAGTACCAGTGCCTGCCTAGAGTTGAGGGAAGAAGAACAAAGGAGAAGGAGGAGTTAGGTCATGGAATGTTTGAGAATGAAAGAATGAGAACCAGGCACTGTGCTGGAGTAAGAAACTTAAACATTGGAAACTGTTTTTGCAAGTGTAAAACATTTATTTCACTGTGTTCTCAAGTTGTATTTAATGTAAACATACCTTAGTAAATGAGCAGGTTTCTTCTTTTGTGATGACGTATGTCATGCTCATTTCTGGGTGCCTTTGCACTTTTATACCCTGCGTAAGTATAATATTTCTATTAGAATGATTGTCATGTCACAGTCATAGAATATAAATAAGAAAACATTTTCCTCTGGATATATTGGAACTAGTATTCCTAATTACTGTTGACATAATTCATGCTTGAGCGGAACTGTCAGCTCTCTGTCTTTTAACATAGAATATTAATGGCATGTAATGTCCACATCCTTACAAAGGTCTCACTTCAGCTGAAGTGGCAGTAATGTAGTTATGTTTCAGAACTCGTGTTATTTATATGAAGAATGTTCAGATATTCTGTCTTTTTCTTTGTGGGGATTATAGAATAAATGTGTCATTAAGTCATTTTTGTATATTTGTTGTAGTCCTATCAATTACTTTATAGTTATGTTCTCCATCATAGATACTGAGGGTGCCCAAAGTCTTTGACCCAGAAACTGACTAGATAAATGGAAAAAGTCTATTTGAGATATAAAGTGCTAAATGTTCTATTTGTTTATCTCAGTATACATTTTAATTGGTTTGCACTTGGCACTTCTCTGTCAGATTCTAAGTCATCCTTGGAATTTAGCTAACCAATTGGAAAGTAGAACCAACAGTAGGTATGGTATGATGTAACCATAATTAATTATCGCAGCTGTATATTTCACAAAATAGCAGCATCTTGACTGCTTCATAAAGACTTTTGAAATATTGGTGTAAAGTGAACAATTTACTTAATTTACTCAGATCTAAAGAAATTGAATTGGTTTCTGCTTGTGATCATAAATCAATACAGCATATTAATAGATTTTAGGGGAAAAAGATAGAGCTCACTTTAAATATAAGCTTACATTATATCAGTAATAATAGCCTTTTCCTTATTTTTTCCACAGTTCTTAGTGGTCTCTGTTCTAATGACTGTCCTCGTAAGATAACCGTAAGTAAACTGAACTCTCAGTTGTAAATATTTCTATGAAAATTCTCTGCATGATAAAAGATTTACACAAAATAGTTGTTATAGGTTATAATCAAATTGTTATTACTCTTTAGAAATGATGAAAGTACCCTTCAGTGCTCAAGGAAACTTTACTGGGAGTAAAGTACCTTGCCTAAAAAATTTCTCACCTCAAGGTTTACCTCCTTTATGAAGCCTTTTCTGATACCCTTTGAAAAATCACTACTCCTCCCATTATTTCTGTGCATACTGCTGCCATTTTGGCACATACGATACTTGATCACACTTATCTGTTTATATTAAATGCCTCTCCACACTAGACTGTAATCCCTAGAGGTCAACCATGTCATCTTTGTATACCTGGTACATAGCACAGGGTCAAGCATATAGCAGACAATTATTGAATTTTTTCGGTGTACTCTTAATATTAACTTGCTGTCTAATAGAGTTTTTCAGTGAAATAACAAAATGTGAAAATAATTAGGTTTAGTTTTCAAAATTGCCAGTTCATGTAAATTGCAATAGGAATATTACATTGTATTTGAAAGTGTGTGTGTGTGTCAGTATATTATCCCTGCTTGGGAATCAAAGTCACTCTTAGTTCATAAGGAATTATCCCCCATTAAAAGATGAGGAAACTGAGGCTCAGAGAAATTAAATTATCCAAAGTCGTAGAGCTATTAAGTAGCAAAACTAGAATACAAAGCGAGGTGTTCTGGTTATAGTCTGGTATTTTTACTACCCCATTACAGCATTGCATTAGCAACATTTTATGTCTGGTTGGGAAACTTCCCATATTTAAGACATGTGGAAACAGATCCTGACCCAGAGATTTGAATGCAGAGGTTTAATCTAGACACAACTTGGGAGCAATACCTCTGAAGTAGTGAGGAAAGCAGGATTGGTAGGAGAAGTTGGTCTGTGATGCATGGAGAGCTATGAAGCTAGGATAGTCCTTCAGAGATGGCCCAAGTTAAGGCAAAGGAGCCAGGCCTTTGTATTCCTGCCATCAATCAGACATTGCATGTAGGCAGTCCCCGGAAAAGGGTTATAATTCCTCCAAGCCAGCTCCCTTGGCTGAGAACAGTTTCTAGGTAGGAGCCCAGCTATGAGCTGTCAGCAGCCAACACTTGGAGCAACTCAGGGAATGTGTGCATCAGTCCTAAAGGGAAGGTCTGGACAGTGCATCACATGTTCACTGTGAATGTGTGTGAGTGCCACGTCAGACCCCCCCCCGCTCTCATATCATTATGAAAATGTTGATATGTAGTGGGGGAGGCCGGGAGGAGAAGGGATGTGGAGGGTGTATGGGAACTTTTTGTACTTCCCACTCAATTTTGCTGTGGATCTAAAACATCTCTAAAAAGTAAAGTCTATTTTTAGAAATTGTAAAGTGTAGATGTGATTAATCAGAGGCTCCATATTACCTTAGAGATTCAAATATTGTCTATCCAGTTAGTGAAATATTCAGACCCTTGGTTCCTCTTCCTTTCTGTCATTGACCATATCCCCATTGTGTGGCTCTTTCATTATGTGGTCAAGCAAAGAACTTTAAAACGTTGAAGTTGAACCCACTCATTTTACCCTCAAGTTCTAGCAGAAATTTTGATAGGAAAGGCTATATGATTAAGGCAGGTTGTACTTCTAAGATCAATAAAGCTCCCACTCTCTCTCTCTTGAATAAAAGCCACTTCTATCATATGAAGAACAAAATCATTTAGAACATCACGTAAGTAAAATCCAGCATGCAGAACTGTTCTTACAGTGATTATTCTAACAGTCCAGCACCTTGGGCTTTTCTGCAGGTGATATCTCTGTCTCACATTCAGATATTTACTACTTTCTTTGAAGTTCAAATTCTGTTAAACTGCCCTTCACATATTCATTTTCATTCCCTACTGGTATCACAGATCACAATTTTATGACAACCTAAAAGAAACAAATGCATGCTATACTTCCCCAGTTTTCCATATATCAAATGTATGCCCACTTGTGAAATTATTTCATGAAAAAGTGGATCTTCATATTGCTCTGACATCAGATCCATTTGATCATAGTAGAAGTGTTATTATATTAGGTATGACCCAGTGTGAGACTAAGGGAAAATGTACTTATTATATGATATTCTTTACCTCTTGAGTTAATTTGTGAGTTGAATAGCTCTTCTGCTGCCTATGTGTTCCCACCTTATACAGGCAACCTATCTGATATATGAAGAGAGGAAAGAATTATTCAAGTCAGCAACTAATCCCACCCAAATTCCTTCACCTTGTTTTGAAAATCCCAGAGTCTTTCATTCTTAATCAGCTTTAGCTGCTCACTGCCATGGCCAAACTCTGGACCTAACGTACCAGAACTGTTTTGCTTTTGAAATGTCAGTGCCATCCATTCAACTCGCTGACCATAACCTATTTTTCTAGCCCTCTCACTCTTGTTGCTCTACCTGTTCAACTTGAAGACCATTAGTCTCTTGACCTATATCAGACCACTCTTGTCTTTACCTCCCTCCTTATTTAGCTGCCATACATCAACTATCACTTCTGCCACTACCTTTAATTCCCATAAAGCACTCTCCTTCCACTTTACCTGCGTGTCAAAATTACAACCCTGGGTTAGTCAAGCTCTCTCTCTTGTTCACTCCTAGACCTCGGCTACTGGGCATTTCTGAAGAAAAATATACAGCCCTGCATATTGGCACCACCGATTCATAGTCTTCAACCTCAAATGAGTATTCATAATTGTAGCATAGTCTTATATGGATCCCTAGTCATCTTTTCTCCCACTCTTTTTCTCTGGTTGCTTTCAGGATCTTCTCTTTGTCTTTGATTTTCTGCTGACTGAATATGACATGCATAGGTTTAGATTTTTAGGTATTTTTCCTGTTTGATGTTCTCTAAGCTTCCTAGATCTGTGGTTTGGTGTGGAGATAGGAAGGCTAGAGGGGGCTGAAGTTAGGTATTTCCTTTCCCCTAGATTGGTTAGGTTGTGGTAACACTCAAGTCACTTAAGCCCTGATAAAACAGTTTTCTTTGAGGGCAGGCAGTTGTTAAGGAGAACAAAGAGCTCTGGGCATATTTCAAGATGGTTTCTCTCCCCTCCTTGTGCTAGAAGCATAAGGTTTTTTTTTTTCCCCCTCAATCTTCCCCCTGAGAATCTGGTGGGACTTCTGGAGGTAAAACTCACAGAAGTGTGGGGCTCCTCTAAGACTGCCTCCCTCCCTCCCCCGGAGTTTTGAACTCTCAGACCAGTTTACACGGAAGCTCCAACAGTCTCTCAGTCACAGTGTAAATGTTCCTACTGGTCCTGCTTCAGTCTCAGGCTTCTGCCTCTGGGCTTCTGCTCCCAGTAAGCAATGACACTCTATCCGCCTCTCTCTCCAGTGTGCCAGTAGTTTGCCCTGTGACCTCAATTTTCTGATGAATCTGAGAAGAGTTGATTTTCTGTTTCTTCTGCTTTTTTGTTGTTGTTGTGAGGACAGAAGTTACAACTTCCAAGCTCTTTACATGTTGGACCAGAAAGCAGAGACTCTCCTTGCATTTTTATCAGTATTGCTTTATTTTTCTTGTTTTATTTCTTACAGCTTTATTGCAGTACAATTGACATGCAGTAAACTGCACGTTTCATATATTCAATGTGATGTCATGACATATATACATATAACAATACATATTTTTAGTGGATATGTATATATAATATCAGTATAATGAACAATATATCATATCCAAAAGTTGTTTTGTGCCCCTTGGCTATCCCTCCTTCCCATCCTCCCTGACCCTCCTTCCCTACCCTACTGTTCCTCAGGCACCTGATAGGTTCTCTGTCAGTGTTGCTTTATTGTAAGAGTTGTTTTTGTCCATGTTACTTCCGGGCTTTTATCAATGTATCTTCCTGCATGTCGTTTATTGCTCTTTACCTTGAATTCTTTTTTTAACTTCTTTTTGAAAAATTGTAAACATCTATAAAAGTGTAGACTAGTAATAAAACCCCTTGTGCCCGTACTCCACCCAGCTTCAATATCATATGCCCAATCCTATTTCACCTATACCCTGCCTATTACTTATTCCACTCACAGCTCCCCTTAGATTATTTTAAGATAAATCCATCACATCTTATATTCTGTAGATACTTCAGTGTGTATCTCTAAGAGATAAGGGCTTTATGTTGTTGACCTTAAACAGATAGCCAGTTATTTCTCCAGCAAAAGTGAGTTTATTTGAGATCAGCAAAGACTTGCAATTCAGGACATACATGCTATGGTGAACCATAGGCAAATCTGGAGAGACAAAGGAAGGGGCCTGCTTTTATAGAGCAAAGGGGTGTAGGGAGGGGCTGTTCTAAATGAAGTTTCATTGGAAGAAAGTAACAGTTCAGAGTGGCAACAGCTTCTCACTGGCTGAGCTGTAGCATTTCTCCCCAGCTGCATTATTGCCAGGAGGGGAAAGAAATCTTCCTTCAGTAGTAAAGTAGTTGTACTTCCTGCTGGAGATGTAAATTACCTTTGAGAAAAATAAAATCCATACTGTTAAGTCAGCTATTTTTCTAATATTTTAGAATCATAAATTTATACTGCACAATTGAACTTAATATTGATTTTATCTAAAATAATATTTCTTATAAGATCTTCCAGTTTTGTTTTACCATCCAGAGCCAGTGATGTAGAGTATACTTGATCTTCACTGTAGGAGCCCCAGACCTTGAAACAAATCCTTAGACAATCAGGTACTTGACAGTGACATAAAAACCACCAAGATTTGTCAAGGCTATTGAAAAAGATAGTCTTTGAAGAAAATGACCTTGATAAGTCAACAGGCATACAGAGAACAGTTAGTTAAAAAGAATCTGTATGATACAACACCTGAACTGTACTACATCAGTATGACACATCCTAGAATAGAAAAAAAGGAGCCAAGTATAGTCCTTTTTTTACTTCTAGTATGGAAAAATTGAGAGAGCACTAATATTTTTTCATTTAACTTCTCTGA